CTTGTCATTTCTTCCATTTTCTTTAGCTACTCTCTGTTCAAGGGCAAGTTTCAGAGTCTCTTCTGACATCCATTTTGGTCTTTTCTTCCTTTCTGTACTTCAGGACAGATCTTGAAACATCCTTTGTGATGATGAATGCCATGCCATTCCTCTTCAAATCATCGTTCTCAGCATAGTAGATCATATGGTTAACTGATTCAAAATGGCCAAAACCGGTCCATTTCAGCTCACTAATACCTAGGATATCAATCTTTATGCATTCCATTTCATTTTTGAAGACTTCCAGTTTTCCTAGTTAATACTTCATACATTCCATGTTCCTATTATTAATGGATATTTGCAGCTATTTCTCCTCGATTTGGGTCATGGCACATCAGCAAATGGAGGTCTCAAATGTTTTACCTGAACCATATCAGTAAGGCTGGTTCTACTCTGATAATGCAGTTCATTCCCAGTCCTATTTTGAGAGGCTTCTGACCTAAGTGGCTTATCCTGCTACACTATATTACACAACATTTCCGGGCATTTCATAAAGTTGCATAGTAATATATCAGACAGTGTTTCTCTGCTATTCATAAGGTTTTCCCTGGCCAATTCTTTGAGAAGTGGATGGGCTATTCCTTCTTCCTAGTCGGTCAGAGTCTATAAGCTGCACTGAAACCTGTGCACCACGTGCAACCCTGCCAGCACTTGAAACACTGGTGGCACAGCCTCAAGCCTCACAGCAACACACAAGGCACAATAGTATGACAAACTGACAGACAAGTTTGTCTTCCTTAGCTGTTAATAACCTCTGCCCTCCCTTACCTGGATCCCTGACACTGCTTTGCTCTGTAGTCCCCCTGGCTTCTCTTTCCCCCACTTTTCTGGCTGGTGAAGGTGCAGCCTGGGTCACTCCCCTTACCTGGATCCCTGGCTGCTGCTCTGTTCTGTCATCACCCCTGGCTTCTCTTTCCCTCACTTTCCTGGCTGGTGGGGGTGGGGCTTGGATTGCTCCCCTTACCTG